GCGTGTGCGGGCGGCGTGTTGCAATTCCCAGGCGAGGCCTCTTCCCCAGACAGGCCGCCCTGGCTCCTCCTTGGCTCCTGCAGCGCTCGTCTCGGGGACTTTGCAACACTTGGGGTTAGCAGCGCTTAATGTGGCAACTTTTTTATCTGATTCCCGGCGCTAAAAACAAGCAAACCGCATAATAAGAAAGTTATTGCTCTATCGGAACTTGTTTTCGAGCGGCAAGCTTGTCTCGGTGCCCCGGCCCAAATGTGGAGCAAAGCCGTTTCCCAGTGAATAAGGAAGGGAGCCATATTAACGATAAAACCCGGGTTTACAACTGGGTAATTATTATGCTCCTAAAGGGGTAAGAACAGGCTAAAGGTGTTTTTGAGAGCTTTGCCTTAAAGTAAAGGTTATTGAGGCTCTAACAGTGTGCTGCTGTGTCTGCAGTAACAAATCTGAGAGCGTTTCTGTTTCAGTGTGTTAGTCTGAATGGAGAAGCATAAGGGTTTGGCCATTTCTAGAAGATTCAGTGGGAAAATGAACTAAATGCAGCTTGGCGACTCTATGGTCTCTTCCTCATATGTTTAGAGGAAGGGTCAGAAATTGTATTGTAGGTGAACGCAGAGCAAATGAAAAACAATTCTCTTGGCTAGCCAGGTGTCGTTTGTTTTAATTCTGATGGTATGAAAATGTCAAGTTGAAAAGAAAATTTGACTTTGATGGTGCAATTTGGTATCTTAATTATTCATATTTGATTTCTGTTGCTGTCAGTGATGTGACAGTAACTGCTGTTACTTTAAATGGTGCAAAAAGTATGTGCTAAGCATTCCTAATCTCATGTTTTAGTATGGGAGAGTGCCTGATTTGCATCAGCTAACGATCCACTTTGAAATGTAATTTCTTGCTTCCAGAACAAAACATCTTCAAGTATCTTCCATCTCTTAATCCTACACCCCACAGTTAAAAATACGTTGTCTTAATCCCATCTGGTTTTGCATTGAAGAGGGTCTTTGCTGTGTCTTAGTTTTGAGTGTTCTAAATAATGGCATATTACTGGTTTGCCAGATATACTGAGTATTTTTTGGCTTTACATAAGTTTGTCATCTCTGCTAACTGCTCATCCATTCGGCAGTGTCCCCAAAAGCTGTCCAGAGCAACATCTATTTCTCCTAGAGTAGCTCATCACTTGGAAAACCCAGCACTGGATAGAAATAGTGTAAATGGAGGGTTTTTTGACGTTTTGGCCATACCCTGAAAGTTATTTTGCCCCCTGTTCCCTGTGTAGTTCTAAGTTCTTAGATATTTCTCTCTCTCTTCTCTGCCCACCCCCTTTGGACTTCCTACACAAAATTACTCATTATGTTTGTGTCAAGTGGAAGAGGAACTACACTCTTGTTACCTTTGTTGTGTTTATGTGAAAATTGGGCTATACCAGGATCAGGTAGATGACCAACTGACCTAAAATGTGGTTTAGTTCCAGAATTTAAAACTAGACCCAAACTTGGTGCAGTTGCACTATGTTGTTGTTCTGCTTCTTACACCAGGGGCAAGCCATGCTCTGAGTGCACAGGTTCCTACAGCTCTAGATCAGTTTTGTGTCATAGAATCATACAATCTTTTGGCTGGAAAAGACCTTTAAGATCCAGTCCAACCATTAACCCCATGCTGCCATGTCACTGCTAAACCCTGTCCACCACATCTGCACGGCTTTGGAGTACACCCAGGGATGGGGACTCCTCCACATTTTTGCCACAGTTAGGCCTCCTTGGCTAGGAGGAGGTCAACCATCCAAGACACAATCAGGCAACATGTGTCCATCTGGATGAAAAGCATTTATGCAAGTGCAAGTCATGCTCACCAGGCAGAAATCTTATCTCAGGTCCATCCCCCCCACATTCTGTTGCAAAGTACTCAGATTTCTAGGTGGTTTTGTGGAGGCTTTTATTAAACAAATCTGCACAATCAAGTGAGTGAACTCTTAAGTTCCTTGTCTTGCTCTTGGATAATTTATGTTTGCAATTCTTAAGGAGAGCTATTGCAAGAGGTACCGTTGTTTTTGAAACATACTTTTACATCTGCAGCATTACCTCTAAAAAATAGTGGTTTTCAATAGTAACTGGCTTCTGTTGACCTCTTTTAAAACTGAAATTTTTATGTTGGGCAGCTGGAAGACTTAATCTATGCCTTAGGTCTAGAAACAGGGAATCAGTGGTGGCAAATTAGTGACTGAATGGCCTATAATTCTCTGAAGCTCCTAACATTGCTTTGTAGTAACACAGAAAGCTGTGCAGGTGCAGTGTGATACTGCTCCTCGAAATGGATTACTTGCTGTCACCCTTTCCTGTTTCTTAGGGCTCAAGTAGAAATTAAAGTTTAAATATTTAACCCTTTTCATTTTGTAAGCAGCTTTTATGATTTCTAGAAGGCTTTCCATTTGATGTGGTAGCATGGGAGGTTTTTCTTCCAGTTCAGGGTTTGATGGTGGTTGATGTTTAACCACTTAATAAAATCTCATCAGACACATGAATTAATTTAGGCTTCGATAATTTCTCCCTCTTGTACAAAACACCTCAGGGGGTTCTCTGATAGTGGGGGATAAAGGTTTTTGTGTGTGTGTGGATACACAGATTTCTTTCTTATTAGAAGATAGGGCTTTTACTTTTGCTTGGTCCTCATTCCCCTCAGAAACATCAAAGTAGCAGTGTAGG